TGGAATACTGATAACAAACAAAAATTAAAACAAAATGCAGTACCAACAATTTTTGGTTTTTTTATAAAAAAGCAAGTTCCAACAAAAGACGTACAGGATGATAATAGTACTGAGAGCAATATTAATAAAATAACCAGTACACAAAACAATAAATTATGTACAAATAAAGTAAATGAAGAAGTTAATATTGAAACTGTGAGCTGTGTTAATTACTAATGGAAAGAATATGTAATACTAACTACAAGCATAAATTGAAACAAGATGTAATATAATTTTTGTTTTTTTTTTAAAGCAGGTACCATCGAAAGACATAGAATATGATAGCAGTACTGAAAGTAATGTTGTTCAAATAACCCATAATATGCAAAGCAGTAAGTGTACAAGTGAAGAAGTGATTAACAACACTGAAAATGAAGAAGTTATTATAATATTGAAATAGTAAGTATTAAAAAAGGATAAATGTATTATATATAACATGTATTATATATAACATAACTTATGTGCAATCTTTCTAGGTTATAAATGACATTTCGAACATCATCGTGCCTACAACATCGTCAGCAAATATACCCATATCTGAATTTCATAAAAACGAAAAAAAAAGAACGTGAAAAGTGTAAAAAATGTAATGAGCTGATGAAGAAACAGTACTTACGTTTTATCATTATGAGAAATAAAATGAAAGCTTTACGATATAGAAATAAAATTATAGAAAGCAAATTTGAGAATGATAAGTACAAGAAAGCTATGAGTACAATATTTAATGAAGATCAAGTAAGAGCATTATTAAAAAAAGTTCGTATTCGAGATTGGTCAAACGAGACAGTTCAACGTGCATTAAAATTAAGATTTACTTGTGGAACTAGTGGTTATGAGGAATTTCGACAAGGAATATCACTTCCTAGTTTATGAACATTGTCGCGTAAATTAGAAAACTTCAAATTTGAACCTGGAATATCAAATCAAATGTTTGAGTTCCTAAAATTAAAAGAATCCTCTTTTAATGAAACAGATTTCGATTGTAGATTAATATTTGATGAAATGGCTATAACATCAAAGAAATGTTATAATCCTGCAATTGGATCATTAGTAGGAGATATAACATTTCCTGGTGAGAAAGCTACACATGCTCTTGTTTTCATGCTTATAAGTATTTGTAATCGATGAAAGCATATAGTGGGGCATCATTTTACAGGAAATAGTTTTAACAGTAATACCTTAAAAGAAATTATTTTTCAGATTATTAGTAAAGCAGAGGAATTAGGTTTTCATGTCAATTTTATTACTTCGGACATGGGTTCTGGAAATACCGGCCTATGGAAATTGTTAGATATTAGCACTGGTAGATATAGTAAAATGAAGAACTACATCACTCATCCAGTTGATCCCACTCGTTATTTATACATTATTGCTGATCCACCTTACATATTAAAAAATTTAAAACAAGCATTATGTAATATTGAAGTAATAACCATTTCTGACGATATAGTTCTTAAGTATAATTTATTTTCGAATAAGATTGAATTAAATCATTTTAATGAGCTAATAAACATACAAGAAAATTCTGAATTGCTGTTAACACCCAAATTAAAGATAGATGATATTAAATGTAACAATTTCAATAAAATGAAGGTAAATAAAGCCAAACATGTATTTTCACATAACGTAAGTTCTTTGCTTGAATTATTAGCGTTAGAGATTAACAAACCAAAGTTTCGTACCACTGCATGGTTTGTAAAACTTGTTTGTAAGTGGTTTTCCTTGATGACAAAATACTGTAAATTAGCATTAGGTAAAAAAGATATACATATATATATATATATATATATATATATAGATATATATATATATATATAATGAAAATATTAATTTCTTGCGCGAAATTATTAATATTTTTACTAATTTAAAAATAGGTAGTGGTGCATTTAAACCCGTACAAAAGGGTATCATGATTAGTACACAATCGATTATTGATTTAACTGAATACTTAATTAAAAAAAAAAACTTTCAATACGTTTTAACTTCAAGGTTTACGCAAGATTATGTCGAAAACCTTTTTTCACAAATTAGACAGAAAAATGTAATACCAAATCCACTCCAATTTACTAATAACTTAAAATTAATTGCCACTGCAATGTATATGAAAGAAATTTCTACATCTAGTTATGATACAGACGATAGACAATATTTATTAGGATTTTTGGAACATTTATCAAAAGAAAAAAAGAAAAAAAATCTGTGATCGATAAATGTCAAGAACTTATTAATGAGATTCCCTTCTTTAATAAAAATTCAGTACCATATTTGTCGCATCTACAATTAAACAGTTTGTACAACATAGCTGGGTACATTATAACATCTATTATTAAAACATGTACTACATGCAATAAATGTATACAATCGATAAAATCGCCAATTCTATTGCGTTTTTCATTTACAAAATATGTACAATTAAAATGTTACACTACAAATTCTTTATGTTTCGTTAACATCAACACATTTAAAGTGTTTATAACATTAGAACAAATGTTTCGCTGTTATAGCAAATTTTTTAATGATTTTCGAAACGTTAATTAGAAATTATTTTTAAGTACACAATTTGCAAAAGTTCGTGCTAGTCATATTTTGAATTATCATGACATATATTTAAAAATTATAAGAAGATTCGTAGTATTTAGATTAAGAATTTATAATAAA